TACAAAAGTCTTCAAAACATGACTCAGGGGTGGAATTGTGAATTGAAAAAAAAGTCTGAAAATTTGATGAACGGTCTGAAAGATGCATTTCTTTCTATACTGATAATGTCTTTCTCTCCAATTCTAACAATCTGATTTCAGATAAAGTCTGAAAATGTCATACCTGATGACTGTTGACAACCAACACATCTTGAGAGAGAAAAAAACAATTTAACTCAGGAAAACGTAAATTTGTGTCTCGTGGAGTAAATAATAACCTCCCTGTGACACTTAAACATCCGTTGCCTCCCACTCTAGCCAGTTTTAAGTGCCTCTACACGAACCTGATAGTTTAATATTTTATGATACATGTATGTCTTGTTTTTGTCTTTATACTGCCAATGTAACAAAAAAAATTATACGATTGTATGCTTGTTGTAAATGCTGGGCACCTTTGAAAAACAGTGTTCCACTGAAAGGTCTCCCCAGGATAAACAAGAAATAAATAAATAAATAAATAAATAAACTCCTCTTTTTGCACTATTGGTCAGTATTTCCTCAGCTCCCTGGGAAACAAAACTTTTCATTGTCTTGGCTTTGTTACCTCCCAAAGGGTTCCTTCTCCCCCATGCATTGACCTGTAGGGCCCAACCCTGTAATGCAGTGTTATTACTACCAAGCTCCCTATGGGACCATTGCACATTCCAAGCGCCTCTCCCTAAACAATGGGTAGACAGTGCACTTTTCTTGCTTGGGCAGCCCACAGGCTGTCTTTAAGAACTTGTTGGGCCTTTGTCTGGTGAAAGTTCCCAGCAGTAAATCCATGTCTAGAGTGTGCCTACAAGGCTGTTCAGTCAACAAAGTGCAACAATGAAATTCATTGTCTGGAACATTGATTACCCCATGCATTGTGGCAAAACCACTTTCAGTTTCCAAACAGACAAGATCGTAAAGACCTAATCAGACTTTTCCCAGAAAAGAATACTTTCTTTTGTTAACAAATTCTTTTTTTAACAATGGTGGTAATCCCCATAGTTAACGAAACCATGACAAAACATTGCTTGCTACATGTATAACATGTATAAGAAATGAAGGAATTATCCTTTAAGAAAATTGAACAAGATGATTTCAAAAAATCTTGGTGATTTGTCCCAAATTATGAACCTTCAGCGTTAATTTGCAACAACAAAAGTTACCAGTACCTCCCCACAAGTACAGGGACCATAAGCAAACTATACAACTTTAACAAGTATGTAAACAAAATAACTGGTTCCAAAATGTGTCAAAGTATGTCCACTTGAGATGAAAACCACTTTGAAATCTTTTCTGAAATGAGGGATGATAAGATGATAAGAAGACACTGACACTGACACTAAAAGTATTATTTTACATGTACATCTTAGTTATGACTCTTCACAAGTCCACACCTTTCATACTTTTTCTGATGCAACTCTTATTATTTAAAATTCTAATTTGCTTCAATGGATGGGGTGATAAAGAATGTCTAATATGTCGACTTCCACATACACTTACTCAAGGAAGTACTATTGTCATACAAGAATGCCATTGACATTTTCCAGTTAATTTGAAGTTTCCCATGCATGCATGGGCCACTGGTACATGTTAGTACACAGGTACCGGGTACATCAGGTCTACTGAAAACCTTGGGCACATTCGTTTTCAACACAATATTTCAGGAAGAAACCCGGCCGAGATACCAACTATTCTCACAGTCAGGGGGCACCAGACCACAGTCTTTTATCGTTTCTGACCAATCAGCTGTGAGCTGAACAACAACTGTCAGAGGTGAGCCGAATTGATAACGATTTTTGATTAGGGGAAAATTTGTTTGGCCGGTTTTCAATTTCTTTGTTGCTTGGGCTGGGCTAGACAGGCTCCAAGTCCTCCTGTGTTTTTTTTTTTGAGAAACTGGAACACTGACAGTTCATGGAGATCATATAGGGAATGTGGTGAGTTGTGCTGAAGTGGAGTTCGAGCAGCAATGTGTGTGAGGAATGTTGGGAGCATGGAGGTGAGAGGTAAAATGGGGAAAAAGGTGAATCGAGACACACTTTGGGCAAACTTTGGGGCAATAACTCTGAGGGAGTAAAACACTCTCAATAGTAGTCTTATTAGTTCAAAATTCTCACTGCAGCATACTTGTTGAAGGCATCTTCAATCCCCCCCCCCTTTCCACAACTATCTTTCCTCCCTCATCATCTTGAAACAGCTTAAAGGGAATATATATATACGACATTTGCTTTTGCTGTAATTTTCAGAGTTGGATGGATTTGGGGGTTAGTATTTCATAGCAAATATCGTACACTGACTTGTTTGAAGTTTGGTGTTCATAGATGCTGGAAAAACCAAGAAAAACAATCATGTTCTTGTAAGCTTTTAACAGGAAAACCAGGATTCAGTAACTGAACAATTTTACGCACTGCATGGCTGGTTCATGCCCAACTCAAAATGGGTCATTCTCCACAGTGTGACATTTGCTCCTGTCGCCGTTACCTTTGGTCATTTGCCATTGAAGCATCATTAGGGACGACTTCAAACGCTTTTTGGGTAGGTGGTTTTCTATTCATAATCACTTCTTTAGGATGACTGCATTAAGGAGTGCTTCCAGAAAGTACAAAAACGTAGATGTCAGATCTGACAGGGACAGGGAAAGAAGTGGACCCCAAATTGATAGAATGATCCAAATTAGAGTGAATGCAAGTTGTTAAACCACATCAGCTGTTAAAGTTGAAATACATGTACACTGACTACTTTCACACAGAGTTTGTTGTATTAACACTTTAAAGCAGGTTCCAGTCATTTTTAATTTCAATTTATATTCCTTTTATTAATAGTTTGATTGTAAAGCGCCAGGGAGCATTTTTTAAATGGATTCGGCGCTATAGAAATTTCCATTATTATTATTATTTGTTATTATTTGAATGGGATTTTGTTGAATTCCGCAGGAAACTAGCTTTAACATTGTACTTGTAAGGATATCATGGCTATACACTGAAATAAGAGAGTAAGCAATGTGTCGGATGACAATTAATAGAGAAATGTTTCCATTCCTTTTGTGCTAGCATACACACCATAGGGACCAATTAAATGCACATCACTTCAAGACCAGTTTGTTTAGATCCCTACTTTATTGTTTACATTTTCAAATCGGAGGACGATAAAGACAGTCAGTTTACAATTTACAAACACAACCCCAGACGATAAATTAACATACCTAAAGCTGTCCAAAATAATCTGTGTTTATCATTGTTCTCCAAGATGAGCCCGGGTGTAATCAAACCTAACTGCACCAGCAAAAGCAAGAGAGGGGGAAGATATCGGAAAACGAGGCCGTAAACGCGTGACGAAGTTGGGTTTCTAATTCAATCAATAGTATGGAGGACGGACACACCTTGGCCAGTGGGTGGCATATCATGCGCTAAGATGCCTTATATTATTAGGCCATTCGCATAAAATTATCGATAGCAATTCATCATTGGATTATGCAGACTGAACTGAGCATATGAATTTATTAGTGTGCGACGAGTGGACGTGGTGTGCTCCACAGTATCTTGATGCAGAGGGCAGTTTTCCAATTTCATACATGGAAACGAACGTCTTAAAATTTGTAAATTTGTCAAGTCGCACCACGAGGTGATGTATCGTGGATACTTGCTGCACCACACAAAGTGACAAATACATCACAGTCTCTAGACGATCTGTCACTTCTCGTAGTGCAGTAAAACTGTCATATTCGTCACTGCATGGTGCACCAAACAAACCAAGTGACATCTGTACACAGCAGCTACATTTGTTGTAGAACTTAATGAAAGCAGATTCATTAGGGCATACTTGTGAAAATATGATAAAAAAACTGAATGTTATTGTTAGGTCTATATGTACAATATACCTTAATTTACTTTGTTTAATACTCATGAAATTGTAAATTGTTCTCAAGTTCATCTATGCTCATGATGTCTGTACACAGCAGCATGATGTCAGGTACAGCGCTTTTTAAATTATTTTTTATAGAAATGGCACTCAAGAAATTAAACAAATGTGAAATGTTAAATGATATTTTGCGGTTGTTTGAAAAAAAAATTCAAATGCTGTCTTGAAACAAATTATTTTGCTTTTTAAACCTGCAAATATTTCTTCAAAAATACCGTGGAATTTGTTTTCTTTTGAGAGTGGACTGGTTCTCGGTTAAAATTGCTTGGGGGAAAATTGCTTTAGTTTAGTTGCAAGTACATGCAAATTAAAAAGGAGTCTTTTCAAAGTGTTATCAAACTAAAGTAATACCAGAGCAAAAAAAATCTGTAAATCGAATTCCTCTGTCTGTACACACTATCTATATCACCACTATAATGTACAGAACAAATACCAAAAAGTGATTTCTTAATAAATGCAACTTTTTCTTAAAAGAAAAAAAAAATAGATCATTTTAGTGATTCCCTCTGAAGTGATTAGAATGAAATGTCGTTGAACACATTTATTAAAGTGTGAATATTTGAAACAAAATTAACAGCAATTTGTGGATAGAACAATTTCACTGCAAGTCTGCTGGTGCAGCTTGGTGCTACAATAATTCTAACATTTCATCAGCTACAGCTACTTAAGTACATTGTAGCATAAATGTTAACAAATGCTCGATGGCTCAACCAACAGTCCAATTCTAAATTTGGGGTGCAAATACAGAAGGTTTAACACACAAGAATAACTTACAACATGTAAACGAATAACTTACAACATGTAAACAAGACAGAACGAACAGGAAACTCCTCTGACCACAGAGCATGGGACAGAACTAGATCGTTGACAACCTATAAAAAGCTTAATTATTTTGAATATAATTTAAGGTAAATGATTTTGAATATGAAAGGTTATTTACAAGCAATTTACTGCATGGACGTGATGGAGTTTCACTACATTTAATCATGATTATTCCATGTCAACATGTTTAATTAAACAGAACCAATAATTTCACAATGCTGGAGCAGAACAAATTGTAAATTACTTACATGTACATCACATTCACTGGTTAATGTCCACCAGAGCGGTCATCTGCAACATCAGGTTGAAAAACGAAAGCATCCCACAAAAATCAGAGAGACAGAGCGCGAGTCCTGATCAATTCACTAATGTGGTTGTCATTCCAAGAACAGATGCTGTTTTTAATTTTTGAGATCAGCAAAGACTATCCCAGATTGAGATGGGTTGTCGCAGAGACTGCTCTTTTACTCTGTAGTCAGGTAGTGCCAGTATCGGATGTTGCCGAGATGCGATCTTCTCCAAGGAGCAATTGTTCTGCACGGTGACCATAGCACGGACAGCTGATGCCTTGAAGTCAGTACGGTGGAACCAACCCAGCCAGCTCACCTAGCTCAGCCCTAGCTCCCTAGACCCAGACTGGCACATATGGTGATGGCAAGACCATAACCCTACCCATACATGGAGAAAATAATGAATGGCTGGCAAACTCCGCTGTGTGTGGCTTTATAATGAACTGGCCTTTGGTTGGGGCATGGGACATGGCATGCAGGCCCCCCTGCGCCTATTGTTATTACATTGTGTGTGCACTGTACACATATAAACACATGCCAGTCCATTCAGCCGCTGCGCCAATGCTTCATCACAGCAGCAAGCTCACCAGAGAGACAGGGCTGCAGACAAGTTATCAGCCTCATGCATTATGCATGAGATGGGTCTGGCTGATTAGCATATAACTGAGTGAGTGGGCTTTGATTGGCTGTCTGGCACTTCCTCTTGTTTTATGCCCCATTGAGGAAACGCTGCATTGTGGGAGATCAGGTGAATTCCAGGCTATTATGCTGTGCCCCTATTATAGCAAGACATCAAACAGCTTTGGCCTGTAGGACAGAAAGACTTGTTTGCTGGGCAGCTCAGATGGGGATCCTTTATTGTAGGTTCATGACTACACTGTGTCCTGTTAGTACTACATGTACTGAAGTAATTTTTTTGTTACCTTTCAGAGAAACTGTTTCAGAATATGTTCTAAAAAGAATCAACATAATCAATTATCACATCTGTCGGATATTAAGGTTAGGGTTAGGATGAATTAATGTTTTGAAATGGATTCCTCAAAAGTATGCACAAAATTTACACATGTACAATGTACTTTGCAAAGAAAAAAATACACTGAGAATTATTTGAAACAGTGTGTATAAATTTCACGTTAAAAAGTGTTCTTCTTTACTTTTTTCAACTGATTTCAGATATCAATTCATGAAAATCTTTTTGGTTGTACATGGGAAAAACAGGGTAAGGTATTTGTACGTGACAAAATACATGCAGCTGGAAGACATCTTTTTTAAACCAAGAGTAATTGGTATATGTATTTTCAAATTTGTCACGTTCACAGCAGGGGATATATTGCCATCAAATGTAACAGAGATTTTTTCAGCTTTTTTGGGGCTGCTCAAAGCTCAATACGGAGACAGACTTTCACACAGATATGCTGGCACAATGGTCATTGTAAACATTTACAATGTATAAGGGTTATGTAGTGCAACAAAATCAAGTAGCCTCCATGCTCCAAGGGGACTCAACTACCATCATATGTGACAAAGTAAATACTTTAAACAAAGACATGTATGATAAAAGAGAGGCCTTGCAGTTGTTTTAACACATCTTCTTACTTTTCAAGGTTAAAGGGAAAATACAACATTTGCAAACATCAAAAAATAAAACTACCAAATCATTTTGAAATACCTTGCTGGAATGACAGTGTAAAGCATCCTGTAAAATCATGGCACCTGGTAAACTGTCATTTTCAAGAAAAGTGGTGTTTTTGTATCAATTTCCAACGCTGGTCGGCCGACCAGCATTGGAAAACTGTTTTTTTTTCAAATACTGGCCCCAATTGACCATCGCACTTGTTTGCAATCGATTACACACCTATGAACGGGTACAAGCCAGCTAGACTGGTTCCCTGACCTTACAATTCCCCAATGTATGTAAACTGCTCTGTTTCTTCTTATATGGAGTCAGGGAACCAGACTACAGGAAAATGATTGTTTTTCTTGGTTTTTATAGCATTTTCGAACCCAAAACCTCAAGAAAGTCAGTGTAACTATATTTGCTATATATTTCCAACCCCCAATTCCATCCATTTCTGAAAATTACAGCAAAAGCAAATGATGTATATTCCCTTTAATTTGACCTTGGAGCTATCAAAGGGTTAAAATACACATTTTGTAAGCTAGCTCTGTGACTTGTACATAGTGTAAAACACACTGGTTGAGTCATATCACTATAAGTATCAGAATCAAGAAAAACAAAATTAAAGGGTTGCAAGTGGGCTTGAAATTTTCGCAGGAAATTCAGAGTTCACAGGAAAATGTACAAAAAATATGTACATGGCACCAGAAGTTACCTACAATTTGAAAAAAAAAATACACCTGAAATCAGGCCAATACTGTAGGGCTCATCCTGGGATTAACAAAAACCTTGGGTATCTTCAAAATGCATTTCGATCATTTTTTTTTTTTTTAAGTGTTCCTAGTTTATGTTCCCTGTTCAAACAAAATCTGCACTACATATTACCGTACTAATCACTCACATACATGACATACAGAAAAAATGACAGGACTTGAAATTTGGAAATCTCAAGAATACTTAAATTGTAAGAAAACCCTACTTTCAGTGATAAACTTTTCAATCAGAATTCAAAAGGATATCATAAACTATGCAGCAGGAATTACGAATTGGCAGCCATTGAATTTAAAGGTTTTTTGTATCGCACTGTACGTGTTGTAATGGGTAAAAGGCCTTTAAATCAAAATGAAGTGTAGCCATTTGTGTAGTTGCAATTTTGGATCAATTTTGTGGGATTTTGTCCCAATTTAGCTAACGCCTGAGACTGAAAAACAACGCACAAGTAATTGATACACAATACATGTACATTCATAAATCAGTCCTTTTTGTTCAATTTTTTTTTTTAAAGGAGAGGAGAAATCTCATGTCCACTCCAACACACAAAGGTCTCCATCTGTACTATGGACCCCCCTTGTTGAATCAAAAAAATGTCACCACGGTAACAGAAGGTCCGTTGTTATGCACACCTCCCTCGGGTTGTTATGCAAATTAGCCCGGGGATAAAAATACTGGGACAATGCACGGCCCGAGCCACTGACGCAAGTGTGCGCATGATGAAAACTAGCGACAGAACCCCTTATAATGGTGCCCCATTGTTGCCGTCTTGAAAGGAATTTTCTGCCCATGGGGGCACAGAGAAATAGTAAAAAAATACGAATCTCTTTTCAAGTTTTTCCTTCTAATGTACGTACAACGTGTGTATGTCAAATGTATTTTTGCAAGGATGAAGATCATGTATACATGTATGTATGTATGTACAGGGAAACTGGGCCAATTGCTGAGTACGGCCTACTAAAAGAAGTACATGTACCGTACAAACTTGAATCTTTTGAGTGATTTTGCAATTCACAATTATTAATTGTATTCATATTATAATTTCTCGAGAACATGTACGTATACATGTACATGTATGATAAAGTCTGAAATCTTTTACAAAAATTAAAATTTTTCAATTTTTTGAGGAATTTTTGTTAGGCGGTATCGGTAGGCCTATATGTCTTGCCTTTTTCCCGTTTCTTCTGTTGTCAACTGGTTATTTAATCACTTCAAAGACAGAAACTTTAACCCACATGAGCAAATATATGCACCGCTTGTATGTTCGGGTTTCGCCTCCATTTTGGGCGCCCTCCCCCTCCCATAAATGCTGGATCCATCATTGATTTACAGCTAAAATAAGGCAACACTTTCGGCCACTGCGTAAACAAATAAAAATCACCACATGTTCACTTTTGGTCTTCTGATTTTACGTATTTCTTAAATCTTTTCTTTTTTAAATTCATTACAATTTTTAAGTTGCTCAAACCTTGTGAAATAATTGCACGCTCCGCGGTTTTCCAACCAGCCCAATAGCACTGGTACATCGACCTGCACACTGTCTACTTCAACCATGTGTTATGTCATTGTGCATATCGCACCCTCACGGTATCAAGTCCCTTTGGTTTTACGCACATGACCGAACATGCACTTTTGCGGGAGGTCACAACAGTCTTACCTCAGGAAGACCGAGCCCACAAGAAAACAACAATCTAAAGAGAGAAAAACAGACTCAGCAACTTGGGTTTTTTTCACTGAGTTATCTGATTTTTCTGTTTGCAATAAATTCAGTAACACTAACCATGGCTATAAGGACTAATAGTAATATTTGTTTACTTGGGCCAATAAAGAGCCATTTATGGGCAAATGTACACGCAGAGTTTGATGGTTCTAATTGAATGTACATGTACATGTAATCAATTCAATGAATTATTAAACTAAATGATTATTTCAGATTAAAAAAAAATTATTAGGGACTAGTTATTTGGAAATAGAATCCTAAGACAAAAATATCTATTTGCACTGAGTTGATTAGTTCGTACACAAACGATGTGTGTAATTTTCCAAAGCCACAATTATTGATATATTTTTTTCATGATATGTTCTTATTAATTCAGAATCTATTTAATAACAGCATCTATTTAGGAAAACAAATTTAATATCGGAGCCTTAATTTACTGATTTACCGGTATGTATTCATGTAGACGTATTTAAGTATCTGTAGCAGTATTGCTAAACAATGGTAGTTCCAATTTTATATTTATTTATACAAACAGAATCATCTTTGATCTTTAAACCAGTTAAAAAAAATTTTTGTAGCTCAAAAAAAAGAAGTGACATGTACCCGGTAGGCCTAAATTCCGGGTCAAATTTCTGCTGAAGTACCGGTATGACATATTGTCATTAGAATTTATCAGGCCATACACTGAACGGGCTATTGGACATTTCATTTGCATAAAAACAAACTACAATGAAATTATACCATAAACATGTACTTCTTTTTATTTCACTTCATTTGAAATCCCTGAGGCTAAATTAACGCTTATTCCCTCATTTTTCATAATTACATTCATTGCCAACCAAAACAGGGGTAAGAGCGGTATGTAAACGCCCCCCGGGTTTTATCTCAAGAAGGAACGCCGCATCCTTTTCCAAACCTCTTGAGCAGTGGTTGTACCATCGTTGAGGAAACACACACAAAACCTGGTCATTACATGCATGCCACTGCATCATGCGTTCCGCTTCATTTAACTGCATGCCTTGACAGGGCACCGGGCGCTTTCTTCACCGGTTCCCTTAATTTGCATTCACAGCTGAAACAATGCCTGGTTGCTGACGGCCGATGGGGCTCGGGATCCGTGAGGAGTGAAGGGGGGGGGGGGGGGGGTCCCAGTCGCAAGAGACAAACAACCAAACGCGTCAGCCACTAAGACGTGCATCACAGCACAGGATGATAATCCTGCCGAAGCGCGGCCGGAACACCGATGCGGCTGTGTGCCGGCCTGCGGACGGCATTATGAAAGATGGCCGGCGGAGCGTGAACAGCAAGTCGGGCGACAAAAGCAGCCGCGAAAGGTATTAAAAAAGAACAGGGAGCCTTGGAATCCAGGAGAGTCCTTTCTTCTTGAGCGGAGATCTTAATGGAAGGACGACGGGACGGTTCCTTGGCGTCGAATAAAAAAAAATATGATTGGTTTTCCTGA